TTTTGACGCAAAGAGAGCGTTTAGGGTTTTGATGTGAGAGGGGAAAAGAGAAGATAAAACAATTTTAATAGAGAAGAAAAGTAATTAATTTAGAGAAGTTATAAAATTTAGGAAAGAAAGAAACACTTTAAAAGAGAAGTTATAATAAAGAAGGAAATTTAAATGAATAAAAATAGTTTTAAGGAAAGTTAAACTGACTCAAATATTTAAAAATAAAATACCGCCAAAACTATATAAAATAAAGATATAAAACACAATAAAATGGAGACACAATAAAAATAAACACACAACAAAAATAAAAGAAATCGATTGTTTTTTATTTTGTCTAAAAATAGAATCTGATAATGACATTAGAATGTCACATCAGAGCAATATGCATCTCTTTTAGACAAAAACATTTTTTGTCTAAAATAGAATCTGATATGACTTAGAACTGTCACATCAGAAGCAATATGCATCTCTTTTAGACACAAAAAAACCATTTTTCAAATCACTCAGAATAGCAATAGTAAACATCAACACAGAGCAAGTCTCATGAGCAAGTCTTTCAATCTCAAATATAGAAAGTAGTTAAGAACATACTTACAGAGTTCTAAAGTTAAGAGTTTAGAACTAACATACCGAGTTCTCTTCTGATTAAGTAGAATTGGCTTTTACTCAAAGGTTTAGTAAAAATATCTGCCAATTGCTTTTCTTTAGGAATGAACTCAATCACTATATCACCTTTTTAAACATGATCACGTATGAAGTGATGTTCCGAGTTCTATGTGCTTGGTTCTAAAATGCTGGTTTAGATAAGTTAAAGGCACTTATGTTGTCACATTTAATTGGCCTTATTTTTAATTTCAGACCATAGTCTGCCAATTGTTGCTTGATGAACAGAACTTGCGCAACACAGCTTCCAGCAATAAGATATTCAACTTCTATAGTATAAAGAGCAACAGATGTCTGTTTCCTACTAAACCATGATACAATGGCACTACCTAGAAACACAGCTTCCAAACGTGCTTTTTCTATCTATTCTGCTTACTGCAAAATCAGAATAACTATCCCCAACAAGATCAAATGTATCTCCTTTAGAATACCACAGACCTAAATTAGAAGTTCCACAAAGATAACTTAGAATTCTTTTTACAGCAATTAAATGAGATTCTTTGGGATATGATTGAAATGCACCAATCAAACAAACACTAAAAGTGATGTTAGGTTGTTGCAGTTAGATATAGTAAGAACCATCATACTTCACTTCGAAACAATTTAATATCCACATCCTTACCTTTTTCATCTTTTTCTAATTTTAAGGATGGACTCATTGGTGTACTACATACCTTGGCATTCTCCATTCTAAACCGTTTCAACAATTCTCTAGTATACTTATCTTGGTTTATGAAAATTCCACTATCACATTGTTTGATTTGAAGTCCAAGGAAGAAATTTAATTCTCCCATCATGCTCATTTCAACTCACCCTGCATAATCATAGAAAATTCCTTACAAAGAAGGTCATTAGTAGAACCAAAGATTACGTCATCAACATAGATTTGCACAACTAGAATATCCATAGATTTGCACAACTAGAATATCATGTGCTTCATTTTTAATAAATAGTGTAGTATCAACCTTTCATCTAGAAAAACCATTTCTAATAAAAACTTACTTAATCTTTCATACCAAGCTCTGGGAGCTTGTTTCAAACCATGAAGAGCTTTAGTAAGTTTGTAAACATGATTTGGTTTATCACAGACTTCAAAATCAGGTTGTTATTCTACATACACTTCTTCATTTAGAAAACCATTTAGAAAAGCACATTTCACATCCATTTGATACAACATGAAGTTTTTAAAGCATGCAAATGCACAGAGCATTCTAATGGCCTTAAGTCTAGCGATCGGAGTAAAGGTCTCATCAAAATCGATGCCTTCCTCTTGGTTGCACCCTTGAGCCACTAACCTTGCTTTGTTTCTCATAACATTACCTTGTTCATCAAGCTTATTTCTAAAATCCCATTTTGTTCCAATGACGGAATGCTTTTTAGGTTTAGAAACAAATTTCCAAACTTGGTTTATCTCATATTGATTTAGTTTTTCTTTCATAGCAAGAATCTAACTTTCATCATTTTGAGGATCTTCTAAGTTTTTAGGTTCTAATTGGGAAACGAAAGCAACATTACCAAAATATCTCTTAAATTGAGCTCTAGTCATCATCCATTCTGAAGGATTATCCATGATGTCCTCTTGAGGATGATACCTACCTGATGAATCGCCTTCTTTTTGGTATTCGGAAATTGTTTCTGTTTCTGATTTTTCTTTAGTTGTTCTGATCTTCATGTTCATTCGGCTGGTTTCAGCCTGATTAATACGTATCTGCTTATCTTTTGGCTGTTCTTAATTTTCTCGATTGTTCATTTTCGCTTTTCTTTTGATTTACTCTAACATCATCTTTTCTTAAAATTCTAGAGTAGAGTCAGATTCATCAAACACAACATGAATAGATTTTTTTACAACTAGAGTATTACTTTCTTTTAAACACCCTATATGCTTTATACTATTACTAGAATATCTTGAAATTCCTTTCATTAAGATTTAGCATAATAATTTAGCAAGGTGATTTTTTTTGTTATCTAGAATAAACATTTACACCCAAAAAATTGTTGAAATAACCAGATATTTGGCCTTTCTACTTTGTATAGATCATATGGGTCTTTTAAGTGATCTTACCAAAGCCCTATTTAGAATATAACAGACAGTGTTAACGGCTTTTGCCCAGAAATACTTTGGTAACTTAGAATCACTCAGCATGGTTCTGGCCATTTCCTAAAGTGTTCTATTCTTGCGCTCCACTACTCCATTTTGCTGGGGTGTTCTAGGTGCTGAGAAGTTATGGAAGATTCTTGATTCTTTGCAAAAAGCATCAAATTTATGATTTTCAAATTCTCCTCCATGATCACTTCTAATTGCAGAGATGTTGTATCCTTTATCATTTTGTATTCTCTTGTAAAGATGAACAAACATATCATATGACTCATCCTTATTTCTAAAGAAGAGTGTCCAGGTGAATCTAGAGTAATCATCTACAATAACAAATGCATAGAACTTCATAGAACTTTCCTCCAAGACTATAAGGAGTAACAGTTCCAAATAAATCAAGGTGTAGCAATTCTAAAAGTCTAGAATTAGAAACCATGCCCTTAAATTTGAAAGATATTCTGGTTTGTTTGCCCAATTGATAAGCATCGCAAATGTGATCTTTTTCAAACTTTAGCTTTGGCAAACCACGAACCAAGTCTTTCTTAGACAGTTTAAAAATAAGGTGCATGCTTGCAGGTCCAAGTCTTCTATGCCATAACCAACTAGAATTATCAACAAAAATGAATCATATGTCTAGGTTATGCATATTAGAAAGATCTACTAGGTATATATTCTCAAACCTTTTCCAACAAATAAAGTTTTGTTATCATGCATGTTCTGAAGTTTTCAAAGATCACTATTCTATTTTTATCATAAAGTAATATTAGCACAGATAAAATAATTAAATTTATTTGTTTTGCTTAATCATGAAAATCTATAGATAAAATTGACTATTGAGCCAATAAATTGTCAATTGGACAAGTAGAGTGTACAATGGATACCCACTTGATGAAATTATTGAGGATATTTCATAATACTCTCCTTTAGATGTCCATTAATAAAACCTTCCTAGAAAAATTCTATTGGATAAGAACCTGATGAAAGAAAATTAAAAATCTTACTACGAAAACCCAATGAGATAAAAGTTTGGTTAAGAGAAAATCGTATCTTATGCTTCTTATAATGTGCATTCCACGCTCACAACACCATTATCAAATATCAAAAATATAATCGTGTAGCGTTTAGAGAAGAAAATTGATACTTTCCCTCCATTTCGTAGTTAAAATGTAACTGCTTAAGATTAGTTAATCATATAGTGGAGAAAATCTCTTCAGTATCATATATCCACTAACTGTATATGACTTGAATATTCTGATCTCTTTAATGAGATATTTTAAGGATTTAAAGGATATTTAGGGATTTATCTAATTTTACACATTCTATAAATATTATGGTATTATCACCTACCAATACTTTATATAAACTTTTCAAAAGTGAGATTATGAGCAAAGAAAAATTTTGGTGAAATATATTTTACTCTGTCTCCTTTGATATGTCATCTCTTTAATTATGCTATGCATGTTGAATTATCTTCATTTAATATTGTTGGGATTTTCTCTAACAAAAAACCATATGCTTTTTTTGTATATGATGGGTCTTAACCAAATATATCATCGATTTGTTTTATGAATTGTTGCTTTCTTCACAAATTAAAAAAAAATTCTGTTCCACATGTAAATAAATGTGGATCAAAATAATCTATATTTTCGTAGCCAATAAAATATGCATGTACAAAATAAACTTATATTCATTTTTCATTTTTAAAAGAATTATATCTTGCAAATAAAAATGTTATATCAATTAAGTATGCTTAGTAAGATATATTAGTATTTTTATTGCACTAAGATATAGTATTTAATGGCCAAAATTTTATTCATCATTTTTTGAGGTTAAAAATAGTTGTCATATTTTATTTAATGACTTTACAGCCATTGATGTAATTGGTACATCTCATTTATAAAATGCATGCTCTTTAGATTGTGAGAAAATATTATATTACAAGGCCCTTTATTTCGAATTCTTTTCTTAAAGAATTTATAACTTTCAAAAAACTCTTCAACAATTTCAATAATATATATATATATATTTTGAGTATTGAGAAAAGTATTCGAATTTAAATTTATTATTAGGTCGTATATACACTTATCATTAGGATATGTCTTGGTGTGCAATTGCAATAACATTTATAACTGCAATAATGTCAAATCCAAATCAAAATCTCTTTAAATATGCCAAAACATGTATAATCTTGTAGCCTATTTCCAATGTGAAATTTTGAATTTGTCTAGAATTTTATTTGCAAAACTTTTTATTTAAAATTTAAATATCATTTTGAGCCAATAACAATGACCTTGACCTAACGGAACCCGTTCGAACCAAATTTTTCAGAAATCTATTTGGAAATACCCAACCTCCTTCCCCTTCCTCTCTCCCCCGACCTACGGTAGCTCTCTCGCCCATCTTGATTTTCCGGCGACATCAGCGCATAAAAAAAAAAAAAAAAAAAAAATCGGCCAGCGGGTCTCCCTCCTCGCCGTCAACACCTCCCTTAGCAGCCGCTTACTCCATTTACGGTCGAGCTCGTCGGTTTCAGCCGCAAACAGAAGTAGAACGAGAGAGAGTCGCCCTTTGCGATTTCCGGCCAAATTAGCTGCTCTCCGACACGTCCTTATGGCCTAGTGAGCGACTTTTGACTTTTCTATCACATCATGTTTTCTTTTAGTTGATTTGTAGCTAAAGATGAGAAATTGGGCTGGTTAGTGATTTTGTGTACTGTTCATGCCTTTAAAATCCTGATTAAAACCTGGAAGTAGAAACAATAAACTAAATTTCTATGAGATATAGTACTTATTTTTGGATTTTATATGATAGCTTCAGTTGTTCTGCATTGTGGAATATTTGCTTTTTTTTTTTTTGTTTTTTTTTTTTTTTTTTTTTTTTGTGATTTGGTGTGGAATTGTGGAGGTTTGGTTGTAAGATGGATTCAACTGGGAGGTCGAGGACTATTTGGACTATTAACATTGGTTTAACAAAAATTATTTATTTCTTTTTTGAAAATGAATTATTTATTTCTTTTATCTTTTGTTGACCTCGTATGGACTATTTGGACTTTTTTTTTTTTTTTTTTAAAGTTGCGGGATTCTTTGGCAAAAAGGAAAAAAAATGTTTTAAGTGCAAGGTCAAAATGAACATTTTTCTAATTAATTTCTTTTGTTTTTTACCTTCAATATTTACCCTGACCGGTTCAGTTAATTACCAATTGGCACAGCCACCATTAAAAGGCAGAATCCCTTCTACCTCTTCGCGGAGGTTCTCTCTTGCTGGTACCAAATTGCGTAGAAACAATGAGGGGTTTTCGGAATTTAATGTCGCGAGCCTCGTTTTGCCGACAGAGATTCAATCCTCATGGTGCAGAAATCAACAGTTCTTGTCGTTTAGCCTCTCACCGCGCCACATACGTTTCGTCTACAAAGACTACGAAGTCTGTTTTGAACAGCGGAATCAATGGCTCTCTTTCTGGTTTCAAATCGTTGAGGTCTAATTTGCTTCCAGAGCAATGGAACCATTTCGCAGGTCGGTTTGTTTTTAATGGATTCACGATTTCATTTTCCCATATTTGTCTTACAATTGTAGTTAGAATTTCCTGTGTTCTAATTTGAATCTCATGTTTTAGGGTTTTATTAGTAGAAGATTTGATTTTTATATGCTATCTGGCTTTTAATATTACATCAATACATATCTTTGGTGAAATTCCCATAAAAAAAATTTCTGTTGGAATAATTTAACTAAGACTACTTAATTGCTTCTAGCTATGGATATGTTCTTAGTAGAATTTTTTTTTTTTAAAGTTTTATTGCGTTCACTTATAAAGAAAATGGATGGATGGTTTGCATAGGGCAGAGGAGGACTATGTTTATACAAACTCAATCAACTCCCAATCCATCATCACTTATGTTCTATCCTGGGAAGGCAGTAATGGATGTTGGAAGTGCAGATTTCCCCAGTGCTCGTAGCGCCATGAATTCTCCTTTGGCAAAAGCTCTTTATGGAATTGATGGTAAGCTGTAATTATTTATATTCTTTTCTAATTATATGCTATAGCTGTTTGGGCTTTTATTTTGAGGTCTTGTCCCAAGGAATTTGTGCTTCCATGTTGTTATTATTATTTTTTGAAAATTCCATTTATGTTTAACTTTAAGGGTGTCAATGTAGATTTTGAGTCTTAATTCTTTGAGAATTGAAAATATGTCTAGCTTTGCTCATCCATTTTTTTCTTTGGCAACTTGCTACGTGCATTGATTTTTTTCATTTTACCTGTTAATTATGATCTAATCAGTAAGCTTTTACAAAAGAAATGATAAAAAGGGTAAATAATGTTGGGAAGAACGTATGACTGATTAAGTTGTATGCCTGTTTTATAGGCTTTAAGATTTCTTACAAAACTTTGGTTTTATCTTTTCGCTAAGTCTTATGCTCTTTTTTTCTCTTAATAGTTTTGGATTTTTATTGTCGAAGTACAATGTCGAGTGCTTAATTAAAATTCCCATGGAATTTTCCTTCAATAAATTTAGAAGTAGAGTTAGTGTAATAAGGCCATTGAAAACAGGAACCTCATTTCTCTTGGACATTAATCAATGAAGTTAAATCAATAAAAATCTGCATCAGAATAATAACATGCAGTATTAGGTGATAGGAATTTAGAGTAGTAGTAACATGCTGTATGAGATGATAAGGAAATGATACGATGAAGAATGTAACATCATTTTTACCAATTAATTGGAAAATATCAAAATGGAAGCAAATTATTAAAATTTTTGATTTTGCAACTTTCACTACGCTTAAAAAATGAGGTTGCAAATTTCCATTGTCATTTTCTCTGCTGCTTTCCAGTGGTAAAAGATACATTGAGGTTCTGTTGTACAGTTCCAGTTACATATTACTGAAAAATGTGATTGGTGTGATTTTAGGTCTTATTAACTTAACAGTTCAATTTATTTTTGTAGAATGTTAATTTGAATTGAAAAGTATAGAGTATGCTAAGAAAAGTTTAAAAAAAAAAAGCATCCGTGATAAAACATATTGCCTGTTATATAATGGAATTTTAAATATATGCTTAGCTATTTTACTTTTTCTCATTTTATTGGTGATCACCAATCCTTTTAAGTAAATCATGTCTTATGATTCAATAAAATGTTCTTTCAGATATTCATTGTGTTGATATGTTGCATATTTGGTTAATTCTTATTTTAATGTTGCGTTAAGTTATTTTTCCAGTTAATTTTTCAAATTCATGGTGAGAGCTGCCAGTGTGGGGAATTTTACCTAATTCCACTACATTATTATGAATCCTGTTACTTGAAAGTTAAAATTCTGTGTTTAACCTTTTTTGTTTTCTGCAGGAATTACTCGTGTTTTTTTTGGATCTGATTTTGTCACTGTAACAAAGTCAGATGACGCTTCTTGGGATTTTCTGAAGCCTGAGATATTTGCTGCGATAATGGACTTCTATTCTTCTGGGCAGCCATTGTTTCTTGATTCACAGACTGCAGCAGCAAAGGACACAGCTATTCATGAGGTAAATCTTTTCTGTTATTGAATGGTTGAAGCTTGTAGAGAAAAGAATCAGATTTGTATTACATTCTTCCATATTCTAGAAACTTATTTCTACAGTTAGATAGCATTCATCTTTTAATATGTGCTTAACTGGGTTAAAATTATCCTTTGGATGTTAATCCAGTCCAGCACATGCTATTTTTTAAAATTATTGCTCGGTGAAACTTCAAGATAAAAATCTTGTAGGCAACTAATATATAATACGCATCATGATCTTTTATGAATTTAAATTGGAATTCTACAAGGAATAGGGGGCTGATACTGGCAATTCCCAAAAGCTTCTATGCTCTCCTCATGCCTTCACTGTAAAGAATTGACTATTTTACCCTTTGTATGCTATGAATTCTTTTAATTGTAGTTTCCAGACTCCCCTAAAGGAAAAATTATTTTCACTTTCTGATCCGGCCAAAGAAATCAAGAAAATTCGAATTCTTTTGATTTTTGATCTAGACAAAGAAATCAAGAAAATTTAAATTCTTTTGACTTTCTGATCTGGACAAAGAAATCAAGAAAATTCAAATTCAAATTCAAATTCAAATTCGAAGGCTCAAGAATTTCAGAATATGGTTTTATCTAGGATTTTTTTCAGATATTATAGTATATTTCTAGTCTTTCAGAGTTATAGTTATATATCTATTTTAATAAATAAGTTGCCAGTTAAGAACTTTAAGTCTTGGGGCAATTCTGTAATTTCAGTTTTGCTGGAATTGAATCCCTATTTGTTTGGGAAGACATATTTATTTTAAGTATTTTAAAATCTTTGTTGGTTTAGGATAATGATATTGCCTTTTAGTTTATTTTGGAGTCCAGTACTTGAAGGATTTGTGCTAGTACTGAAGTCCTATTAAGAAAAGGTTTAGGAGTAGTTTGGGTCTTTAAATACCCATGCTGGTAATTTAATGCTTTAATTAAGTTTTCAGTCAATAAAATTACAGCAGATTATGCTTTTATCTCTGAGTTTTGTAATGCAATTCTTAACCCTATAAAGCATGATTCTTTCTTGATAAGAATGGGTCCTAGAATCTGTTAGTGTAATGCTAGTAATTTATTTTTATTTGGGTAATTTTCCCTTTATTTTCTAAAGAAATTGAGATATGCAACATTGATAGCCAAAACCTAAGTCTTGATTTCTATAAACCTGGCCTAACCATCAATTTCACCCTTAAATTTTCAAATGGTTATACTATCATCCTAAATTGGCCTTTGTGCTCTGGGCACCTAAACTTATCTATCTACTTGCAACTGTACTCTAATTTGTATTTAGGGTGCAATTGCAGCCTAGAATCAAATTTGTACCCTAAAAATGTATTAAGTCATCGATCTATTGCAATTACACCCTAGAAGCAAATTAAGGTTATGATTTTTAAAATAATGTAAAAAAGTGAAATTTATAAAAACAAGTGTAAAAGAAATTGTTTGAATTAAAGGGGAAACAAGTGCTATAACCAAATTATCTATCGACTTGCAATTGTACCTAATTTGTATTTAGGGTGCAATTATTATTAGCCTCCTTTGTTGAAAATATATATATATATATTTTATAAAAAACAAGTGTTTAAGACAATTGTTTGAATTAAGGGAAACAGTGCATTAACATTATCTAGCTCGACTTGACAATGTAACCTAATTTTACTTTAGGGCTGCAATTATTATTAGCTCCTTTGTTGAAAAATATATTATATTTTATTATAAATAATTAATATATATTATATTAATATATATAATTAATTTAGTTTTGCTCAATCCCACATCGGGATGAAAGAAGCATGTTGAGAGGTGTAAGGATTGGCTATAAAAAGAATTACAAGTTTAGGCTTTCTAGACACATCAAGAAACTTAATGTGTTTATTTAGGCGATTTAGAGCAAGGTCTTTTGGGAGTCTCTATGGAGTACTAAATATTTGGGGTGTTTTTGAGGGGTGATCGAGGAGAAAAATATTTTGTAATTGTGGTTGTAACAATTTGCTGCATAGTGAATATTTTTCTTGGTTGTCGTTTGGCAACGGCTTGTGGTTTTTTTTCTTCACTTGGGGAGTTTTCCACGTTAAATTATCGTGTTATTTATTCTCTTTAATTTCTCAGTCATTATTTTATTTTCTCATTTGTTTCTACTTGAAGCCGGTCCGAAGGGCGGGAAAATATCGATTTTTCCAACAAGTGGTATTAGAGCCTGGTTTGTTAGGCGGAGCTTTTAGTGTTAAAATATTTTCTTGTAATTTAAATTATAAGTATGCACTGTGGTTGCGGCTTAGTCTGATCTTCCACATCAGAAATACTGTTGTTAGAAATTATTTTATTTTAAAAGTTTTCAAAAGCAGGTGGAGTTTTGGAAAGTCTTTGAGCTGTGGAGCTTTGCTGTTGGTGTGCCGTTGGAATACAGGCTGGGTTGAAGGTCCTGACGATAATTATTGAGTCTATCTCTTGGTTACAAAAGTTCTGATATATACCGTGACGTAACTTTCTGGTCTAGCAAGGCTGGATAATTTAAGTGGACTGCTTTGTGATCCTCCCGTCCAACTGGATTTTACGTGAATGGTTATATATCCTAGTAGATCATTGTGGTCTTTTCTGGGGTATTGCTGAATCGGTTTACTTCACTAATTATTGGGTTCACTGTTTATAAAGCACAAGTTAGCAATGGTCCGGCTATGAGAATGTAAGATTGAGAAGAAATTTGACGGGGAGATATGAATTTTGCCATGCGGCAAGTGCAAGTCAAAGATCTGTGTTGATTCAGTCTGACTTGCATTAAGGTCTTTGACAGGCGTAAACAAGTCGGCCGGAAGAATTCAGCGGAAAAGCAGTGCAGTGGAGACTCAAGAAGAAATCCCAGATTAGCGTAGAGAATGAGAGAGCTGGTATCAAAGTGCAAGTCAAATTCGCATGTGTCTTATGCAAAAATGTTCTTGCTAATGTGCTATAGATTATCCACGACCAAAGAGTTGTGGCGAAGAAACTGGAGATGAATCTGTACCAAGAAAAAATATATCTAACGGGTTAATATTTGCAAGGGGCAATTTCATACGTTGAAAATGGCGAACAGTACAAAGCTGTCTAAGATCACCTGAGTGTCTTAACGGCTCGTCTTGAATTTGGAAACTCTTGGAGTGCAACCGAAGATAAGATGAAGATAAAGCTCTTCGACTCATCCTGTCACTTCCTTCGACATATAAGCACATGAAACCTGTTCTGAAATATGGTAGTAAGGAAGTGATGTATGTGGTTAGTAAGCTCATTACTGAGGAGAGAAGACTGAATGAAATGGAAAATAAATCATTTGAGGATTCAACTTTATCTGTCGGTACCTGGAAAAAGAATAAAAGCTCCGGAAAGAGGAAGGTTGTCTGCTGGGGTTGTGGTCAAACTGGACACGTGAGGAAGGATTGCCCGAACGGTGGAGCTGATTCGGCTAGAAGCTCTAGCGTTGTTGCTGCCAATGTGATCTCCTGTGGCGAAGGAGATGATATGTTCTCTCTGTAATTGAGAGATGTGTGTCCTCGTGGCATGATTGCTACCCATTGAGATGCCATGGAAGAGGATGGATTATTGACAGTTGGTCCACGGAAATGCGCACGGCATTGATTGATAGTTGATGCAAAGTGTGTGGCGAAAAAAAAAAAATATGTCGATGGCTAATGAACTCTCGGAAAAGTCAACAGAAGGGTTGCACTATAAACTATTAGCGGGATTCGACATGGCCGCGATGGCGTATGGAACAATTCTTGGAGTCCGGTAATTGGTATCGCAAGTGGCCGATCACTACTCTCTCAGTGGCTGCAAGTATATACATTCTTGACGATAAGAATTTATGATTGTGGTAAACAGACAATATTGTGATTTTTTTAATTTTATTTTTCAAAGTAGGAGAATTTTTAGCCTCCTCTTGTTTGACTATTATATATGTTGTATATATATATATAATTATATAGAATTTAGTTTTGCTCAATCCCACAATCGGGGAGAAGAGCCATCGATGAGAGGTGGTGGATTGACTCATAAAGGGCAAGTTTAGGTTTCTAAAACACCAAAAACAATTGAATGTGTTTTATAACTTGAGGGATTTAGAACCAGTCTATTTGGACTATTAAAATATTTGGGGTGTTTATGAGGTGTCGGGTAGACCAATGTTTGAGTAATTGTGCGTTGTCAACAAATTTGCCGCATAGTGAATATTTTTCTTGGTTACTCGTTTGGCACGACGTGGGTTTTTTTTTCATCCACTTATCGTGTTTATTTATTGCTCTTTAATTTCAACCAAATGACAACCAAGAAAAATATTCAAACTTATGCAGGCAAATTTGTTACAACTACAATTACAAAAATAATTCTTTTTACTCCAGCACACCCTCAATCCCCAGCCCAATACTGTCTATACTCCAACGGGACTCTAAAAGGATTGCTCTAAATCTCTAGTAATAAAGACATTTCAAGTCATGTTTTTGGTTGTGTTTAGAAGGACCAATAAACCTTGGTTTACTTTTTATAGACCAAATCCACCGTGTCACATGTTCTTCCTTCCGATGTAGGATTGACAGCAGAATAATTTTATGATATACTTTTTTTTGTTTTACACGGGGACTAACAATCCTACCACCTTGGAAAAAAAAAAAAACAAAAAAAAAACAACTTGTCTGGCTACGACAATCATAATTTTATCGTTCAAGCATTCTTCATTACTTCCACCATAAAGAAGAGCTTCGCACACTTGGAACCACTTCGCATTAGGCCCACATGTCGGATCCCGCTAATAGTTTTATGTGCAAATCCTCCTATTGACTTGACTTTTCCGAGAGTTCATTAGCCATCGGCATATTTTTTTTTTCGCCACACACTTTGCATCAACTGTCAATCAATGCCGTGCGCATCGTCACAGGAGATCACATTGGCAGCAACAACGTTAGAGCTTCTAGCCAAATTAGCTTCACCGTTCGAGCAATCCTTCCTCACGTGTCTAGTTTGACC